CTCAAATCGATTTGGTCCCTGAACAAATCTTGTGGCATTTGTGATGGAGATCAATACTAAAAAAAAAAAATTAAAAATACCTATTATTGATGAAGTTATGGCCGGTCAAATGAAATCGGCGGGACAATCGGTGGAACTGTAGCAGTATCTTCCCGTGCCGGTACTGTACCAAAGGGGTCTGGCATGTTTCTGACATGTTCCTCCGTGGTCGGTCCGCAGTCTACAGCCATGGATAGGAAAGATGCCACGGATACGGTGTTGGGAAGTTCTGAGACGTTCCGAGGCTATTCGATGTTCTGCCGTGCGGTGACGTGGAGGTCGATTTCCGCTCGATTTCCGCCGTCCGTATGTAAAGTGGACAAAAGTGGGTACAATTTGGACGAAAGTGGGTCAAAATACAGACACAAGTAGTGGGTACATGACCTTGGGAAAAATCGATGCCCGTGCTGTGTATGGTCCCTGGCTGTGCCACCCAGGTGTCAGAATGGGGTTTTTAGTCGTTTGGGGGTCGCCTATGGAGAGCCCGCGCGCTGGATTTTCGAGTACCCACTTTTGTCCGAGAATGGCGTGGGTATACCCACTTTTGTCCATTCCCAAACAAAATGTGCTGGCCAATCTAGTTCGAGGGAACCTGCGGCGACGAACGTGTAACCTAAGGGCGATTTTTAGTAGATGCATGTGCCAACACATACATGAAAAAAATTCGACTAGACTAGTCTAGACTAGTCTACAGAAGTAAATCAAGACTAAGCACACAGAACAGCACCCTGCTTTTGCTATCATCCCGGTTGCCTCGTCCAGCTACCGCCAAAATGACGGTAGACTGCGTAGGTTGAAAGCCCTCGCCGCACGAAAATAAATGAAAAAGGGCCACCGCGTGTCCCCCCCCCCGTCCACCCCCGTTGCTTGGCGCGCACGATATTGACTGTAAACGCTTGGGTGCGTGCGTACACTACTGCTGGTAATTGTGACGATCCATTAGATCGACTAGGCTAACGCCCCCCCCGCCCCGCCCCGACCCTCACATACGCGTTCCCGTTGCAGGTACCACCCCGCAAGGAACCAAGACGACGAAGGCGTTAGCGGAATCAGGGCAGAAGGTGGTTGGTTCGATGCGCTCCAACTCGAGAGAGAACACCACCGTGGTCGCTACCATCAGCGCTGATGGTCACACCTGGGCACCAACCATTATCTTCAAAGGGCAACGACTTCAGGCCGATTGGTTTGTAGAGCGAAACGGCCCGGAGGGTGCGAGGTACACCTGTACGGATTCTTCGTTCATGCAGGGAAACAAACGTATTCATCGCCTACTTGAAGGATTTCCACAAGCAGCTCGGCGACCGAGGGTTGCTCGACGGAAAACCCCACATACTCTTGCTCGATGGACATGCATCACACGTGAGCGTGGAGGTAATCAGGCTGGCCATGAATCTCAAAATCATCTTGTTCCAGCTACCCTCCCACACGTCGCACATCACCCAGCCCTTGGATGTCGCCTTCGGACGCTTTAAGAAATCGGTGACCAAAGTTTTGGCGTCCTTCTTCCACAACTCCGGCGGGTTGTTGCCGCTGAAACGCGACATGCCCCCGGCGTGATCGCGGATGCTTGGAAATTGAGCTTTACACCGGAGATAAATAAATCATCACTCGCTGGGGCGGGCTTGTGGCCTGTGAACAAGGAGCGGGCGCTGGGCCGGCTGAAGGGCACAGCGAAGAAGAAAGAGCGGCGAGAGGAGCGCCCACCCCTACAGAGACGGGGGCGGGGAGGAGGGAGGGGAGAGGAAAGGGGAGGGCGAGGCGGACACGGAGAGAGCGCGGGAAGGGGACGGGGGCGGGCAGGAGGGCGCGGGAGGGGGGGGGGGGTGAGACGAGCGGGCGGGGGGAGGGAGGCGGGGGCCGCGGTGTTGGTCGTGGAGACGGGGTGGGAGCGCGTGGCCGGGGGGGGGCGCGCGGCCGGGTGGCTGGGCGCGGCCGGGTGACTGGAGCAGAAGGGACGACTTTGTCGGAACGTCAGCCAGCGCCCTCCGTGTCCAGGGTTGGACGACAACGGACGCCGACACCCGTTGTCGACGTGTAGCAGTATGGATATTTCTCACGTGTCCTGACAGGTTCATATTTGAATCGGACACGACCAAATGGTCATGAAGTTGTACCCGGAGTCGATATGCACCCTGTAGAACGTCGCACGTGGTTCGTAGGCTATGCGACGGTGATTTTAGGGCGTGCCAGCACCGTGGGGGCAGGATGCACAGGTTTTGAACCGAACCCGGGGATATCATCGTTTTGTCCCCGGGTGACCTGTGTGTGTGTGTGTGTTTTGTTTTTTTTTGCGATAGATTTTTTTCACATGCTTACAGGTACCCTCAGAAGCGCTGGTCGCGGGGGTGCAAAGGTGTTTTGAAACTACAGTTGTTTTCGGCGTTAATTCTTACCGTAGCGGCAAGCCTACAATCAGGAAAACATATCCTTATTTGACCTTTAATATATCATCAGGTGTGCTCCAATGGGCGTGGAATTGTGCGTACAGTCGAAACATACCCTGTAGAACGTCGTGTGGTTCTTACCCTATTTGATGGTGACGTTCGTGCGTTCCTGTACCGGGGGGGGAGGGATGCACAGGTTTTGACCGAAAACCCCCGGGGACGCGGTGTTTCTGTCCCCGGGGTGTTTTTTTTTTTTTTTTCCCAACATGTTTCTCAATCGTGTTGAAAGGTCCCCTCCAAAGGTTGTGTCGTGGGGATGAATGAGTATTCCTCAATGGTGGATACAGTTCGGCGGTGTTCGGCGTGAGTTCTTACCGTTGGCGGCATGCTAAATCAGGAAAAAGTACCCATATTTGACCAAGCACCATTTTACGTAGAGAACTCATTTCGCCGTGATTTTTTTTTCTCGAGTCGTCTACTGACTGGAATAACACATTCATGCACCAAACTGGTTGTTCTGCCTCGATTCGAACGCACAGAGCACGCAATACAGGTCATGGAGGGAAAACCCATCCCTACCCATGGTGTCGAAAACCCGGGGATACGTCATTTTCATCCCCGGATGTCGATCATTTTTTTTTCTTACTTTTTCTTCATTCCTATTGTATTTTACGCATGCCCACCAAAACTTGGGTCTTGAAACGCTTTCAAACGTACGAAATCAACCAATGATGAAAGTGGCCTTTATTACCCCCAGGGGTAATTTTCTCTCAAAATGACGCCTGCACCTCAGGTCTACGGCTCCAGCCCTACCTCGTCACTGTTGACGATTTTTTTTTTCTTTTTTCTTAGGTAGGCGGGGGGTGATCTTATCTATCGCTCGATACCACAATATCATCGAAATTCGATTTCCTGCTCAAGAACAAGCTCTTAGCACAGGGGGTGCCTTAAGTGGCCTTTAATACCCGCCTCTACTCTATATAGTCTACCGCTGTACGGTACATAGATAGATGAAGGAGCGGCCCGCCGAGAGCACACTGAACCTTGCACCACGCCAGATCGATTGAGGCGTCCGCTACCCGCTTTGTCCGGCTTCCACGAGCAGGCGAGACAGAACCACCAGTCAGTGAAGTATATTGGAATGGAACGAACGGAAAATATCAGAAAGCTCTAAAGATCCCGGATGAGATGAGAGATGGAAATAAATGAAGAATATGCATACGACATGTGAGAGCCGAGACACAGACAGACAGACCGGTGTAGGAGGGAAGAGAGATACTGGCATCCAATGTCATGTGGGTATCGATCGATGGAGAGCAGAGGAAAAGGGCGCAAAGTTTGGCCAAGGCTCGATGCTTACTGGCTGCCTCAAATCACCTAGCACCTGTTCTTGTTTTCATTGTCTTACTTCGAGCAGGCATATCCGTATGATGAACGAGGTTCTTGTTGTTACAGATCTATTTATTACTCCGAGGACCCGATTCAGCGGACACCGTTTTTTTTTCTGGGTGGATTCAACGTGACACTTGAGAGCAACGTGTTCAAAAATAGAGTGCGTTGGAATAAATGGGTGACGGAAGGACTCACTCAACTCGTGGACCCTGGCACATTCTGCAGGATGTGGGTGGCGAGTGATATGAAGCGAAGTAAGAATTGGACGGATATTAGCCCTCGCAAGGGGATTCACCCTCCTCCTCGGAGGAAGTGAAAGCGACCCCACGACTAACTTTTATAGAAGCCGAAATCAAGCCATTATAGTCAGCGCTGACTAGTCTATTTGATTTCGGCTTCTACAGCCCGCACATGACACCCGCACCGGGCTGTGATGTGATTGAGGATTGAGTAAGGTCGCGTCAAGAGGGATAGATACCTCATGATGGTGGTAAGAGTGTAGACCGATATATATGCATACCATAAGGAGCTTCTTGTGACGCATGATGAGACAACCCCATGTGGAGCAATATGATGGTCCATGGTGCACCAGAAGAGATAACTACATCACAATATTATCATCATCATGCCATATGCATACTGAAGTATATCATCATCACAACATGAGAACGAGAAACAAAACCAAACCTGATGAAATCTCATGATACAGCATGAGTATGCAAAGTTCAAAACCAACACATCGCCCATAAGTTTCCATGAAGCACAGTCGTAAGGGTGATCCTTTCTTGGTAAAGTACTTCAGAATGACGAGTGAGACCTCGTTGTGCAACTGGGCAAATTGGGGAATAATATTATTTGTGATGATGATGCTCTTTCTGGAGAACGATGAGGCACCATAAAATCTCGCTTCGGGCGCGAGGTTTCTTTTGCCGCAAGGTAAGGTTTCCACGAAATTCTATCGGTTCGTGTGAGAAAACGTGAGCCCGGGCCTTGGAAATAGCCGATACGTGGACAAGTCGCTTGATGACAACACCAGCTTTTAGGGCTAGCTGCTGATGGCGGCAGAACACGCATGCCATCAAGTGTTCGACCTTGTTTCGGACAAGCCTTCGACATGCAGTGCCGGACCACCGCTAAGGAACACCTTTCCGAGCAAAAAGGCGAAAGTCTTGTGTCTCGACGATTGAGCATCAGCGCTACCATGCAGCATTTAGAGCAGTTTCAACGGCTGAATCCAACTCCTAACCCCTTCATATATCTGAGCCTGGCCTCTTGCGGGCGTTGTGCTTCTTACAAGGGGGGCGGCAATACCTGTGATCAAAATATTTCTTCCTCTCACAAAAATTCCTTGCAACAAAAGGGGCGGACGGAGATGCTTTAGCATCCTTCGAGGACGACCATGCGGGATCAAACTTCAAGAGCAACAAACTTATGATACACAAAATATATCGAAGAGAGCCGACTACACCACGCCGCGGACAAACATATGCAACGCCTCATAACCCCCCCAAGCAAGCAAGGAAGAAAACGCAGCAAGGATGGGGTTTTTCCAGTTCTCTACTTTCGAATTGATGTACAGAGCTGCAACACCTAGGTACACATCCCATCTTCAAGCCCTCTTAAGCAGACCTCATCGCCGAACCTATCTGCGTCTACCACCACCATTCCCACCACCACCACCATTCCCACCATTCCCGACACAAACCAAGATGGAGCGAAACATATGGCAAGGCCAACACTCACTGCTGTCGTGTCATGCAACTTCCTCGTCGTGGTCGATCTCAACTCCGCCGTTGGCCGCCTCGTCCGTGAGCGATCCTTCGGCTCGTTCGGCGACACCAAACAAGAGGGCAACGAGCCCTTCTCCCGGCACGTCGCCACCCCGCGCTTCCGCACGCCCCCCGTCCTTGCCAGGACCGCTCCTCCCTCCTCGCTCCCCACCGCCAACTCCCGTCTCCTCCGCAACCGCCGATGCAGCTACAGCTGCTGCCTTTTCAGCTACCGCCAGCACTGACGCGCCGGCGGGAGCCCTCCCGACGCGGTGGTCGCAGACACCCCCGGCACCGCCGCCGTCGCCCGTCGCCGCGCGGGCGAAGTTGCAGATGATGCAGTTGTACACCATCGCGAGGTCGAACTCCGCCCCGTCCTCGTCTTCGTTGACAGCGCCAAGGTTGCCGTTGCCTCTGTCGTTGCTAGCCACCAAAGACCCCTCTTCGACGCAGTCTTCACCCGAGGCGGCCCCTGTCGATGGGACTCTGCGCGGTACCAGCTCCGACGCTACGCCACCGTTCCTTGCTTCCCTTTCAGTCTCTTCTTCCAGTCCCCGTTCGGCGAAACTCGCCGCCGCACCAAGAGAAGCCCCGTCTCCCAGCGCCGGAGGCTCGTCCGCACGGGTTTCTTCTGCGATGCTTCTGTTCTCGACCTCGCAGTCATCATTGAAAGACGACGGGGGTTCTTGTTCTCGTAGTCGCTTCGGCGGCTCAACATCGGCCTGCTGCCGCTGCGCCGCGAACGCACTGCTGCTGGAGCTCTGCATCTCCTTCGCTAGCGTCATGGCCTCGTCGAGCAGCCCGACCCTCGCGCAGGCGTAGACGACCGACCGGTAGGCCCTCGGCGACGCGTGGAAACCCTCCCGGCGCATCACCCTCAGCAGGTTCGTCGCGCCCCCGGCGTCGTCGGCGTCCCCGAGGGCCTCTATCGAGCAGTCTAGCTCTTCCGGGGACGGCCCCCCGCCGCCGCCGCTCCCGCACCCCCCACCCCCTCCTTCGCCCTTGCCCCCACCCCCGTCGCCTCCCGCCTTTCCTCGTCTTTTTTGTGTTGCGGCGGTGCCGCCACCGCCGCCGCCGTGGGACCCCGGCCCGTTCTGAAGGAGCCGCGCGATGTTCGCAAGCTCCGGGGCCCAGTCGGTGTATCGCCGGCGGTTGATCCCCACCACGGCAGCGGTGTAGGTAACCTTACTCGGGCGAATGCCCTGCTTCCTCATGTCCGCCAGCAGGGCGAGCGCCCGCTCCCAGTGGCCCGCCTGCGAGCACTGGGTGGGGTCGGAACGGGGGGCGGGGGGTGGGCAGGCGGAAGCAGGGTGGGCGCATGTGGCTAGAGGACGTGTGCTCGGTTCAAGTGTCGGGAGCAAGGCTGGACCCGGCTAAAACTTAGAATTCGTGTTCTACCCCCGCGCGGAGCAGGTAAGATTTTTGCGACCTCAGTCGCGTTTCTTGTGCGCCGCAAAATCCACTCTCCGCACGGCACTCACAGCTGCGATGGCGGCATCCCACGAGCGAACGCTTGGCTGCAGCCCCAGGCCAAGCACGTACGCCAGGAAGCGAACCGCAGCTGCCCAATTGGCCTCCTGGGGTTGATTGAGCACGGGGCGTCGTGTTTTTGTCCATACGGAGCAGGAAAAACGCGTTGGGAGCAATAGAGCAAGCTACTTCGCATCGAGATGCCACAAAAGGGCGCAGGGCTATTAGGAAAACCGGACCTTCTGTATTTTTCAGCCCTGGGGGCTTTTCGTTGAACGTCCGCCGAGAACAGCAGTGTTGAATCAAGCCGCGGGGAGGAACACGCGCATCGCCAATACTGCGAGCGCGACGGGCACACCTCCAGCGAACACCCCGAAGTAACCGCATGCACAACGAAACGCTCGCAATTTCAACGAGCGTAAGCTGGGTACCAACTCGCAAAAAAACTGATCCATTCCCTCCGTCGCTTCACGTCTGATCTGCGTAAATTGTTGTTATACAAGTGGAGGATATCTCGGACGCGTGGACTCCCATCCCCTGCCTCCCCGCCTATGCCCAGACTGGTGTGCCGCCTCCCTTACCTTTGCGAAACCCCAGACTATGGTCTCGTAGGTGTAGAGCGAAGGCTCAAAGCCATGGGACTGCAGGCGCCTCATGAGAGCCACGGCACGCTCCGGCTTTCCTTCCGCGGACCATCTGAGAGAGCCGGGTCGCGGTTTGATGTAGTTACCGAACGGTAGGTGCTATGCATCCAAACCACCATCAAAAGTTTTGATTTGGCGCCCGAGGGGGGGGGCATGGTACGAGTGGTATCCAGACCAACCGCACGGGAATTAGCCCTGCCCTAACGACGTGCTCTGAATGGGAACTGAAGCTGCTGAGCTGTGGACTAGGCGGAGAAAATCCTGCGTGATAGGGGCAACAACTTCCTACCATTCCATTTCGACATGCCCGAAAATCGATACACATGGGAAACCTCGACGGTTCGGTCATGGGGACGGAGGTTGTTACCGAACACTCGAGTGTTGATCGTTATTAAAAGCAGCGTAGATTCGACGTACAAAAATCCTCCAAGTGCAGCCGTAGGTTGAACGAAGGCGACAACAGGCGCAAAAATACGCAAAAAATAAGACGAAGAAACTCACGCCGCAACCATGGTGTCGCAATGAATCTTGTTCGGGCGCAAGCCGGCCGCGATCATTTCGTCCAGCAACTCCGCCCCGCACGCCACGTCCCCGGCCTTCAGGCACGCGAACAGCCCCGCCGAATACGCCACCACGTTAGGCACCGGCAACCCCGCCCGCCGCCCACTCCCGTTCCTCAAGCCCCCTCTTACCGCGGCCGCGGCCGCCTGCGCCTCGTTCACCCGCAGCTCGGACAGAAGACCGAGGGCTTCGTCCACGCGCCGTGCGCGTGCGCACGCCGTTATGGCGCTCGCGTAGCTCACGACATCGGGCGGGGGGGCTACCTCGACGCCTGCCGTGCCCCCTCCCCCGGGGGCGCCGCCGCTCGCGGCGCCGGCTACCCCGAGTTTCATTTCCTGCAGCAACTGTACGGCCGCGGTCCAGTCCATGGCCACGGAGCAGGCGTCGATGGCGGCGTTGTAGCAGGCGGTGTCCGCCCGGACCCCGGCCTTCCGCATATGCCCGAGAAGGGCGAGGGCCTCTCGCTGCCGGCCAGCTTTCCCGCAAGCGTCCACTGCGAGCATGGCCGAGGCGGGTCGGCGTGCGGCGTCGCCGAAGCGATCCGACCGAGGGAAACAGGGAAAGTGACGGGAGGGATAGCCGTCGTTCAACATAGGAAAATGATCAATCGAATAACGAACCAACGTGAATACCTTGCCAGGCTTTTTCGCAATATCCATCGATGTATCCATAGTACTCAGGCTAACCGAAACTTGGCCGAACGCAGCACCGCCCTGGGGTTAGAAACTGAGAACAAAAACTCCCAGAAAGCATACAACCAAAAGTCCAAACCGCCACCGCATGGCAGCAAAACCACAAGAGGCGCTAGCTTGATATGCCTGATTCTATTCGTCTCTCTGCCTTTCTCTCGCTAGCTCTGTGGTAGTGCCGAGATTGTCTTCTCTCGACCTCCTGCATTTGTCTGACTGTCTGCCCTGCCTGTCGGCCTGCCTGTCGTCTCGTCCCCTTTCTCACTTGCAGCGGAGTAGTTGTACGCGTTGGGGGTGACTCCTGCTTGTCGCATGTCTTCCAAGAGCCGGAGCGCCGCCTTCCACTCCCCGGCGTTCCCACACGCACCCAGCACGCCGTTGTAGCTGATCTGTAAAGCATAAAACCACAAGCCATTGAAGGGCGTTTTTCGAGCCAAATACGAAAGCAACCAACAAACCAACCACACAGACTATGCTCGCAAACAGATGTCAACATTCCCTCGACAATCTTGTGCTCAAGTTCTTGACGTGTCACGACTAATTACACCAGCGCTCCAAGGCTGAACGAACAAGCTGTTAACACATTCCGGTCACCTCGAAAAATGACAAGTAGGGTCACCTGGTCAGGCGTTAGTCCCTCGTTCTTCATCTCGGCCAACAACGAAAACGCCACGTCGCACTGCCCGTTGTCAGCCACCGCCTTGATGGCCGTATTGAAGGTCACCGTGTCAGGCGTCAAATCCTCTTCTCTCATGGTCTCTAGGAAACCTTGCACCTCTTCCCAAAGGCCGCGACTGCGGGGATACGGTTGAATGCGAGCATGCCGCAGCAGTGAGTGGTCAAACGTGCTGCCGATACCGTTGGGTGAGAAACAGCTACGGTGTGGTACTAACATATACCCTTCGGGGGGAGTATCGTCGCACGTCGCACGAAAAAAAAGAAACGCGTCGACACAGGCGGAGCTCACATGCCGGCGGTGGCAATCGCGGCCGAATAGCTCCTCTGGTCTGGATCTATCCCGTCCTCCCTCATTATCTCCAGCAGCACTACCGCCCTTCGCAGGTCGCCCTTGGCTTTGCACGCCGCCAGACAAGAGTTGTAGGTAATGATGTTCGGAGTAACGCCTGCCTCCGCCATCATCTTGAGGACTTCGGCGGCGGCAACCGCGTCCCCTCTCTTCGCGGCGGCGTTGGCGACGGCGTTGTAGGTGAACTGGTCGGGGTGCAGAAGAGCGCCGCCGGAGGCTAGTTCCGTCATGCGGCCCAGGAGGCGCCGGGCTGCGTCCAGGTCCCCGCAACGCGCGTGCCCGTTGATGGCCGAGTTGTAGGATATCGTGTCTGGCGCAATAGAGTCGCGCTCGAGCATGACCGTGAGCAATGCCTCGGCTTCCCGCGGGCGGCCGCAACGCGCCATCGCGGCGATGGCGGTGTTGTAGATGTACACGTTGCCCTCGACTCCTTTCCCTCCCATCTCGCTGACTAAAGCCGCGACTTCTCGCCAGTTCCCTCGGAAGCCGGCTGCCTTGATGAGGTGCAGGTAGTCCTTCTGCTTCTGCTCCGTCTGTCTGGCAGCGGCGACATTGCCGAGGCGGCGCCGCCGGCGAGGGTCAGCCATCCCTGTCGTCGTCGTCGTCGTCCTTATGGGAGTCGAGGAGCTGCCAATCCTTTGGGTGGGGGGTCGGTTGCTGCTACTAGTGCTGCTGCTGCTTCTGTTACAACCTTTTCTGCTGCTGTTACCACTTTTTCTGCTGCTGCTACGGCCACTGCCGCCACTATTTTCGCCGTTGCTATCTGCTGCTGCAGTTGTGGTGCCTTCTCCCGCCGATGCTGCCACCGAGCATGATGCCGCAACCGACGGGACTCGTCGACCGCCTAGGTCAGGCGGCCAGCCGTCCGATGCTGCCCCCAGCAGCGAGATTTCCCCTCTGCCTCTTCTCCTTCCTCTCCTCCCTCTCTCCGCAATGGCAGCTGCGCCCCTGCTGACTGCTACGTTTTGACAGCTCACCTTTGAGATGCTTGATGCAGCCGAGAGGCTGGTACCACCGGCAGCATCGTGGTAGTTGGCGGATGGGTTTCGTCGCATGGGGACGGTGCGATGGCATGACTGTGAGGGGCATGGAGCGGCCACAAGGGCATTGGCCGGTGTGACTGCATGAAGAACCATGACAGAGTCGATCGATCACACGGCAGCACACATCAACATGCACAGCTGCAGCTCAGCTGGCGCTGGGCAGGCCGATCGAGCGATCGAGGAGACACGACACCCCCACCCCATAGGTACACATTCACGACGCCCCGCCCGAAACACCGCCCTGGTTCCGCCGCACCATCCATCTCGAACAACCAAGTGAACTCGCCCTTACCCACAAACCACATCGGACTCAGTACTCAATAGGGCAGCGTCGAGGAAATGCCGTCGTCGAGGAGAAGGAGCAAGGACCCTGCAGACTGCGAGGTATTTTTGCATGTTAACATTTTACTGAATAAATAGTGAACCAGTTTGGAGAAAAGCTCTCCATATTCATGCCGTAACCTTGTTAGAGAGAGCTGGTTATTTGCAGGTTATTTGCTTATACAGCGAACAAAATGCACTCTTTGTCGTGGTAGACCCTCATGGTGTTTTCAGCAGCGTTGCTTTATCGCAAGCACGGCATTGTGCTGTTCCGGCCGAGTTGAGAAGATTTATGTTTGGGACACAGCAGCCAGCCGTAGTCTTTGTTGTCACGGGGGCATTCGCCCAAGTCCTCGGTGCACGCGGCGGCGACGGCTGTTGTAGAGGTGAGGGTGTACAGCTATATCTCACAACGGTGTGCTCTCTCAACCCCAGGGTATGCATGTCATTGCTGTGTCGCTGAAACTGATAGGCAGGTTGTTTTTTGAAAACCTACATAAAATACAGGAAGACTGCCCGTTCAAGATGTAACCACAGCAGTCGAAAGGGATGTCAAAAAACCTCTCGAAGTACGACGCATTCGTACCTTCACCAACTACAGTTGTAAGATCCCCGTATGCCTGCGAACTGCCGTGGTGTACGTGTAGGTGCACCTCTCTTCCCCCTAGCCCCCCTTGAGGGAGGGCATAGCAATATGGCATGGGCGCCGGAAAGATGCAACCCGTTTCCCGTGCTGGTGGGAAACGCTATTAATGTCAACTGCTTGGGGGTGTTGTACATCTCATGTTTGTTTCCCTTGGGGACACGGCCCGTCGCCCACCCGCTGGCCAATGCGAAGGACCCAGCCTGCGCAGACATGGCGGATCTCCTCCGAAAGGGAAGGGCTCTTGCCGCAAAGAACAAGCAGAAGGCGGCGTCGAATACCGCTACTGATGGTAAGGCCGCGGGTAGCCAAGCACAACCGAGTTCTTCTGCGGCGGAAACGGACGAGCATGCTGCAAGTTCTTCGAGAAACGATGGGTGTCCGCTTGACAAGGGCGAGCTGGGAGCCGCCACCTGGGGGTTGGTAAGTTATGCCTCAATAGCGGATAAGGTTCGATTTGTACGCCACGGCGTGGATGATCGCTGCTGTGGTGCTGTGTCTGTGCTGTCCTCGATCAATGCTGCGTACAATCGGTAAACTTTCGGGTATAAACTGTATTGAATTTTCGCGTCCCCATTCTTGAGCCGTGTCCTCGAAACCGCCCGCCGTATTGCTCGGGAGCCGGCAGCGATGTGTGACTTATTTGACCACATTTCGCGCCGAGGGTATTGTACATTGTAGAACGAGCTTCTACGTTTTGAAGCTCGATCAGAAAAGCTTGCTGAGCCCTTCTCATGCTACACCGCAGACGATTGCCTCTTTGGCGGGACTCAGAATCGGAGCCCTTCAGAGCTTCGTCGATTGAGATGGGAAAAGACAGCAGTAGGCGGTGTACGTTGAAACTTCGGAAACATGGGACTGCATGGCATGACGTATTAGAAAACGTCATTTCGAGAAAGAAAAGGAGGTAGGTACATCATCAGTTAAAGGGTGATGCTGCTCCGTTGTGGTGCATGTTAACCCAAGCTCATCACCGACAAACAATCGACGCAAATCCGTACAGAAATTTGTGTATTTTGGGCACCAGGTGGGCATTGTTTTTCAGCTGGCACGACCGGCTTCTCGAGTGCACGGGTGTAAACACACTCACATTAGAACTCCAGGTATGCAGTGCGTGCCCTTTAGCACGGTTCCTCATTCGAAGTCCTCGCTGCTTTGCAGGATTGGCGCACCAATTTTCAGTTTTTTGGTCCCATGAGCACGCCTCTCGCAATGAAACACGGTGTCAGTATTAGTTTTTCCCCAAGTGAGCTCATACCCCCACCCTGGTGCCCAATTTTCAAACGGAAGCAAGCTTTCAACGAGACCCCCCGCCACCCGCCCTCATCAGATACACACAACCGCGGCACACTACCCAGAAAAGCCTTCGAAGGAGACACAAGACCAGGCAAGGGCTCTCGTGACCGGCCTGGCCGGCTTGTACCCTTGCACCTACTGCCGGAAAGACTTTCGGGAAGAAGTCCGCAAGCTGCCGCCAGAGTGAGAGAAGCAGGCGTAGAAAAGAAGACAGCACAGAGACAATGTTGGGGCGGAAATAGAGAGAGAGAGAGAGAGAGAGAGAGAGAGAGAGAGAGAGAGAGAGAGAGAGAGAGAGAGAGAGAGAGAGACGCGAAACTGAGGTACAAGTTGAAAGGCAACGGGAGAAAGAGGGAGCAGATAGAAGAAACAGACATTTAAATACAGAGACAGAACGTGAGGTGGCAAGCAACGCGTCGACATGCATTGTCGTTACATGTCAATATCAGAACCGTACCTTCATGTCTTCGATCTGTTCTTGGTCAAGTAGGACCGTCCCATCCCAACGCATCAACCCGTGATACTGTATAATGTGTGTGGTGGATGCTCGACAGATGGATTATTTCTTTCTCGTTTCGATGCATTCCAGCTTTTCTTTAAACACCATCGTTCGTGTGAGGGTGCCTCGCTTACAAGATTCTACCGATAGCCCCCGTTTTTTGTGCACACGCACGCGTTTCCGTTGGTCAGGCGACGGCTCAAACAAACAACACATTCATTCATAGATAAGCGAACACAGCAGCTGACGTGCCGGCCCGCGTGTGGAATGAACCACCTACTTTTTGAGCAACAACGATTTTGCGAAGCTACCATGCATGTACGTACGCGATAGGAGAGTGTGTTGTGCCGGCTGCTGATCGCAATCTCTTACGTTTGTGTGGTGTTCATTTCGTACCTTTCGTAAAGATCTGAGCCTCGATTGCTTGGTGTGGGGATGTTTCTTGTGAGCAAGCCGGCACCACATAATAGTTGCTGTACACGCACGCACAGACAGGCAAGTGGAGATGTCACATAACATAAGGCTGATATCATCATATATATGCCCTCGTCCCCTTCGTGCCGTCATTCCCTCTACCCCGGGGCGCCCGTTCTCACCCCGCTCGCTCTTCAGCGTGAGTTCCCGCGTAGCGCTATCGCTGTGGGCGTGTCAGCAGCACAACCTGGTGAACGAAAAGATCGGAAAGCCGACCTTCGGCTGTACGCTGCCAGCCCTCGACGAGAGGTGGAAGAAGGGAAAACCATCATGTTGGGAGGGAGGCGCCGAAGGCGTTTGATTGGCCGGTGGAATGACCCGAGATGGAGCGCTTATTGTCGACACCGTCGTGTTTGGATAGTTTCGGTTCTCACCCGAAACAACCTTGGAGCCTGGTAGAGCGAGTGATTGCGCTCGAGACAATTGAGAAATGACCGCATCTAGGTATCTAGCAGAGAGTTGGCCACCGGTTACACATGCCTAAACGAAAGGGACACCAACAACAATGTTGGGAATTCTTTCGGCGAAAAAATGGGGTATCGCCGGGGCAACAGGCCAAGGGAAGGATGCCCAACGTGCACGTCGCACAGGTGTTAGTTCCGGCGAGCTTTTTCCGATTACCGCCTCGCTCGTGGAAAATCACTCCACTACAGGAAACATGGGCTCCCTAGAATTTCCTCCACAAGTGAAACCGAAGGTTCTGACAGTACATAGGTTTGTCTCGGACCCACTTGAATGGCGGGACCCGCCAGGCAGGAGTGAAATTTGTTGCTCCAACCTCAATGTTCACTCCGGTCTTTTCAATTAGCAGATTGCACGATTGCACGTCTCACTGGAAGCACACCGATAATCCAAATCCCCATGATGCGTGACGGCCCCAAACGTATGCACGCGTATTCACGCAAACTGAGTCGGGCCGGTGTAAAAATCGTAATTTATATCATGCATATTAACAATACATATAGAGAAACACCGGACAGGTGAGAGAGAAAGAAACGGAAGAAAATATGCGGCTGAATTGCTCGAGGAAGGACTACTACACCAAAATACTCGACGATCTCACTGGCGACCTGTCCTTCCTTGAAACACTTCACCCCAGATCACAATCAAAGCACCTGTCTCACGCACGGTTCGTAAGCGCTGTCAACCAAGGAACAGCTGCCATTGTCGAGATGGCGGGGCCGCGAATGGGCAAACACAACGAAGCATTACCAACCAACCAGACGGCCTCAACAACGACAGGATGGAGCAAAAAAAAACGCCCCTCGCCTCTCGTCATTGTACACACGTCCCTTTCCTCTGCCTACTCCCCCAACCTTCCCGTCCCAAAAATAGACGCTTTGCCAAGGCAGCACACGCACTAATACCATGTACACAAAACTTCCCAACCCATGACACACAGGAATGCGTGCTACGTGGTGTGTGCAGGACACCGCCCCTCTTCAAACTGGACTTCGACCAGATTTCGGCTATCAACTGGTTCTATAACATCGCCCGTGCCTCCCGCTTTCGACGAGAACCAGTCCCACCGAAATTGGTCAGGTCTTCCACACCTCCACTACCCCTTACATTTTTCGATGGGCAAGAACAGCGCGAAAACATTTGCGACTTCAAAAAGGATGAGCGAAGCTGCATGCGAAGGGAACGTGGATGGTAATAATTCTGTATGACGCTCAAGAGCAAAACCAAGTGAGAACACAGCACATTCGGAAGAAAACCCCAAGGGAAAAAGCTACCGCGGGAAACGATTTCGGTCGGTCGACGGTTCGTACTTGAAAAGGTGGGCCTGCTTTCTACCTACCCCTTCACCACACAACACTTCGGGCTCGTCGCGGGCAGGGTATTCCTAATTTCCTTCGTCACTATTGCACTCGTGATCTTGATTGGAGAAACAGAGGGAACTTGGGAGAAACCAATGCCCTCCTACCAAGAGCACTGCGCTGAGCTCCAAACTGCAGCCGTACCAGACCCGTATACGAGGGGAGCTTTCAAGCCGGGGGGATACAGCACACGGAGTAAAACAACAACGCATCACAAAACAGAAGAACCAAAGGGTCGAAAAACTCCGCCCAAAAGCGGGGCAACAAAACAAGAGAGACAGGACGGGAATCGCCCCTCTCACAGCTACAGCTGACATCCAAGAACAAAGACTTCATCGAGCGATTATCTCGAAACTGAAACGACAAAAACAAGCTTTCGACGTTCGGGGATCAACTCGATAACAAACGCAACCGCACAAGTAAGCCTTTTCCGCCTGTGCGGACTGCCACTTTCCCTATGCCATCACCCCACTTGAGTTTCCGCTCGGACATTCAACACATCGTCCTGTTCCATCAACCCTTGCGAAGCAGTAGACAAACACAAGGATAAATCGCTACGACGGACGGGCGAGTTGCCCCAGCTCTTCCCCTCGCAGCAGCGTTACGATTTCGTTTGGCAAAGAGGAGCCGTAGTAGATAGAGGCCGGTTGGGGATCGTCGTAGATACATCCTTAGAAGCGGTACGACATGGACGAGTCGTCGTCGCTCGAGTCGTCGTCGCTCGAGTCGTCGTCGCTCGAGTCGGCGTCCTCGGATTCCATGTCCAGGTCCCCGTCATCCGGCGAGTCGTCGGCACCGAGGATCTCGAACTCGTCCGAGCACCCGTACACCGAGTCGTCCTCGAAGTCTCCCACGCGGATGGTGTACATGCCTGCCTCGGCATCTTCCGGGATCTCCACATCGTAGTCGCCCACTGTTAGGGTCGACGGCATCACGGCAAAGCGAGGGACGGGAGTCAAAGCGTCTATAGGGGTTGGTCTCTTCTTCTTGTGTCAGACAAACGCAGATCGACTCCTCGCCCCGACATGCTACTCTCTCAACCAGCGCGTACCCTCAACCAACGCTGCTCGAAGGTGCCCAAGGTTTGTCATGAGACAAATCATGCGAGATCGAAAACACTGCCGTACGGGCACTTGACTTGCCACGCACGCACGCAGGACACAACGCATGTAGCGGCGTTGGCGGTGACCTCGTTCGTGGCACACCTGGTACCGACAAGTTTCTTCGTGTCAGAACAATCGATGCTTCCAAAGACCGACGGCAACGAAAACACTGGACACGTTTAACTCACTGGAATCCTTGCAGCCGATGGTGGGCTTGTCGCACAGGGTGTACATGAACGTGCCGCAGTCGCCAGATCCCGTGGCCGAGTAGAGGTCGATGGCGAAACGTCCCACTGACGATCCGAGACCGTTGTCGTAGTCGAACTTCGAAACGGAAAAGCGAGTGATGCGGAGGAAAATTGAGTAATCGACTAGCAGGGGATTGCCACACCCACATAAATCACTTCCAAAAACGAGTGCAAAATATTGATTTCTCGGCGTTCGGTTTCAAGCAGCAACGCGTAACACGGCTAGAAACACGACCAATTCGCCATCCATCGATACAAGCCCATTGCAACGCCATCCAACCACCGAAGTACTTCCATCAACACTGTCGGCTGAACAGGCGAAACTCGCATATTTTTCTTCACACGTGTTCCCTCTAGAATGCTCACCTCCACGGTGTACTCCTCGCCGGCTTCGGCAGAGTCCCCGCTGGAGGGCGAAGTTACCGTCACGTACGGGCCGCCGGCGTCGCCGGCGCTGGGTGCCTCGGCGTGCGCCATGAGGTAGAACTCGTCCGAGCAGTCGCCCGAGTCGTCATCGTCCACGTCCGCCACGCGCACCTATATCGGCAACACGCCACCGTAGAACATAAGAAGAATGTGATGACAGACCGGAATTGAATCACAACGAACGCATCACAACGGGTGTTTTCAACTTCAAGCATTAGACAGACGTTGATCATGACAAGACTGCAACGCATAGGCTTTGTGTATCATCATCCATTATCAAGTGTGGGTTGGAAGGGCGCGGAAAGAGATAGTAATTGAGTAAAGGACAGAACTTGATTTCTTCATTCCCACATCCAACACAACAACGACAGCAACTGCCAAGAGAGATTGCTCGCATCGTACGTCGCTTGTCAAGCGCGTAGTATACGGCAAGCCTCAAAAGAAACAAGCACGATTCTAGACTACTCCAGAGGACTTGGCCCTCTTCGGAAGAGTTGACAAAACACCACTCGTTGTCCTTTGTGTCGACCACCTCGCCCACGCATTTTGTAGCATCAAACTGTCGTCCAGCCGTTCACGCTTGTCTTTCGCCCGTTTACTGCAAGGACTCTCAATGTCGTCGCCGCTAGAGAATTCTTTGGTGTAGAAAAGCTTGATAGTTACCTTGTAGCCGGAGCCGGAGGTGCCGCTCATGGGCTCGGGCATGACGATGTCGTAGTCGCCCTCGTTGTCGGGGCAGCCGTCCTCGCCGTACGGGCACAGAGCAGTCACCCAGTCACCGCACTCATCCTGCCGAGGAAAGAGAACGCAGTTTCAGCGGGACAAAAATGGCGGGGTTCAAGATGAAATGCTCCTTCTGACTTGACTGATAGAGGATGGTCGCAAAGCGATGGCAGGATGACTAATACTAATAGTGGGTACGACAGGTCGCAAGGGATGACGAATGGGTAGTCGTTTTGTTTCATGGACAGCGCAGTTCAGGGGCGGAACGAGGTATGTTCAGGCAGGTTCGTGTTACTACCGTAGGCGAGAAAGCTTTGGCATTACGTCCATGCTTGCCTTTCAAACAAAATAATGAGGCGAGTTTGCTGCCGCGACCAGCCCAACCACGGAAAAAAACATACCGTCGCCAACTGGCAACGATACGATACATCTAGTCCCCACAAAATGGAAAGCAATCCTCACCTCCATGCACATGGATCCGCAGTAGTAAAGGTCGATCTCGTAGCGGTTGTTCGACCCGGTGCCGGTCCACTCCACGGTGTACGCCCTGGAATGATAAAAATGCGGTGCGATCAGTGTTTGGCACAAGAAAGCGTGTTGTGTATTTGAAAACCGACGTTGCAAGTCATTGCGCGGTGCACAGGTTCTCGTAAATTATTCAAAAATAGTAAAATGGTCAGTTTACATCGGGCATTGCTGCTTTGTTGCAAGAAGGGCGGGGGTTGACGTCGAGGGTGAAAGAGGGTGCACAGGGGACAACACCGGAATTATCACGCATGTTGCAAGTTTAAATGTTCTCTTCGGCTAGCTAGCCGCAGGAGCGCGCAGAGGCAACACAGCAGTAAAAGATGAATCGGCCGCGGGCAATGAAGGCACTGCGGTATCCAGGAACAGGCAGCAGTACTTGTAGTAGATGGACATCGAGAGAGCAATCTGGTTAGAGTTTCAGCATCCACCACTTCTGGGCAGCACTGGCTGGATCGTTTACTATCGTACCGTACTTTGGCGGTCGCACGATTCAGTTGTCGAGTGAACTCTGCTCTATACTGCTGTCGCGTTCCTTGCTATTCTTGCCAAAAATATCGGATGGCACAGAAATGCCCCCCATGAAAATTGGGGGACATTATCGTAACCAATATTTCCAGGCGCTGCTTTGGAAACTTTAATTTCGTTGCTTAACAAAAAGTAGGGTACCGTCGCCAACGCCGTTGGCAAGCAACACGGGAAAATAATCGTTCATGTGTGATCTACCACCGCCTTTCGGTTAGGACACGCGTGCGCCCATCATGCTTAAAAAACAACTCGCGGCATTTGGACAACGCATCACCTTCAGTGGAACGCTCACTGAATGTTCAGTGCAAGAATATGACAACACACACGAAACAGGGAGACCAAGCAGGCACACCCGACCCTTCCACAGCCGGTTTCGCCGACACCTGCTGTTGTTCAAAACACGTCTCCATAAAACAAGTCACGATCGGATGAGAGAAAAATAAAAATAATGCAGGTTTTCTGTGGTGGTGCGTGCGTGACATGACGTTTTCGAAGAAAAACAGACAGTAGAGTGCCTCTACAGAGTCACGAGGCTCCGTCAATAAACATCACGCCCGTTCCAACGCCGTCTGCTGTTTCCGCATCCAAGGGTGAAGCTAATTATGGGTTTGAGGGGCCAGCAACTGCGAAAAATGGAGCAAGCAGTATTGTCTACAATGTGAGGCCATGAACACTCTCGGTTTAATTATTTGTGAACGCAAGTCGACCCCGAATTTATTTATTTCGTATATTATTCTGGACAACTAAACCCGCGCCACACAGCATCCGAAACAAGGCGACGGAAGAGGGTCCTGCCCACATAACCGCCGAAACAATCAGCAAACACAACGCCACGAAAGCCAAACCTCGACACGGGAAAGGCATTAAACTCAGCAGGCGCGGGGTATCAATGACGAAGTTGTTCATATCTCATTGTTCTGACATGACTCCGGACAAGTTGCGAGGCAAATAAGGTTTAAAATCATTTTTTTGTGTCTTTCGGCACCCCCGGACATTCGACAGCAGGCATCTGGCCAGAGTTGTTCGAACAGAGAGGGAGGGCATGCTGAGAGTGTATCCGTCCTGAGAACCTGGGCATGCATGTAACGTTCTTTCTATATACACCTGCAACATCGTTTGGTTTTTACAGCTGGCTCTTTACAGGGGAGGCCATTTGTGCCTGCAAAAAAGGGAGCGGGTGTGTGTGCGCACGTGACAATCCTTTCTTTCGGCATGTCATCCAACGATCGACATTTCCCACACAGACAGATGGAATTCACTCCGTTTGTCACGGATCATAGGAGAAATCAAGCCCTTGGTTTGTTTGACTGACGCCAGGTTGAGCGACTAGTTCGGTACGCCCACTGGTACGCACGTGGGGATTGAAGTTCTGAGCTACAGACGCTGCAAAGGAGCGGCGCGTGTCCCCACTGTGTAGGCTGGCAAAAACTACAAAACACAACAGCAGCCGTTGCATCACTCTTCACTATTGAGAACGGTAGAGTCTGACCATCGACAATCCCACAAGAAGGATATACTTCTGCAAAACAACGCCGTCTGGCGCTCGGCGTGAAGCAGAGATCAGCTGCTGGTCAAGCACTTCAACTTAGGGGAGCTACCGCGAGAAGGAAGTGGACACGCCTTTCTGCCAAGTACCACCGGTCAGAACATAAAATCGAGTGCGCGCTTTTGGGGGCGGAGAGGAAGGTCGGAAAAAAAAAAAAGATGGCAAATTCCTTGTGAGGGCATGCGTGCATGACGACGACACATGAGCACTTCCAACGTCTTGCGGTGCCGCGGATAGTTTGATACGAGCACGCATCAGCGGGAGATGGGCCACGCGATGGGTTAACCCCTCGTGACGTCCGGTCCTCTCCTCAAGAAATTATTTGACAGCTGGCTGCCGCGGCGGCCGAGAGACAGAGAAATTAATCAAATTATCTACCCGCCCTTCTTTCAGATTCCGCACTCCTCACTTCTCTCGATCTAGATGTATGTGCGTTGGTGCCGGCAAATGAGCTGACGCACCGCGGGGGTGGGCCCTGCATCTACCCTCTGCTACGCTAATGCGGACCGCCGGCTTTTTCGCAGAGATGGCGGTGTGGGAAGAAGAGAGAAGCCCAGGCTCCATGCGGTAGGTAATCGTGTGCCGTCGTGGCCTCCCACGCTGGCCGGCAGGCATGTGCACGTGTGGGTGTGGGCGGATGAACAATAAAAAGTTGTTGCTGGCGAAAGCTGCGGCACCGCCTGTTGCCTGCCCTATGGTTCTCTCTCCATCAGCCCTCTCAACGCGCTGCCCCTAGGACGACGCACGACACCGCCGATGCGAAAGCCCTCCGTGCTCAGCCGGAGGCCGCGTGGTTGGGTTGATTCGGCATTGTGTTCCCCGATCAAAAAAAGGGCAAAAACAAGCTTTCAAAAATATGGAAGAAAAACAAAGCGGGCAGCATCATGAGAGAGAGGAAAGAGCCGACACCACAACCGGAGTGTAATGCGCTTACGGGCGCGCGCGCGCGGGCCACGTAGAACTGCGTCTGCGGCATATGAAGCAGGCATGCGTGAGCGGGCGCTCCACGGCCGCTTCACACATCGCTGTTCGCGCGCATGAGGTCTGTGTCTCTCTACCTCCAAACCGGAGCTGCCCGGTGACGTGAAATAATCCGGATAAAAGGCTACACACATCAAGCGCCGAGAAGAAAGGAGAAGGTTTTAAGATTTGAAGCAGCAAGGGCGCGACAGAACAAAATGGTTCCACAGCAGCACGAGGATTCCCGCGCAGCACGCGAAGCAGCCCTTCCTGCTGTGCGGCACTCGCGCATGTCTTGGGGGCGAACACACACAGTCACCTCTCACTCGGCCCGCCCGCGGATATGTGAGCGACGGATTATTTTGCGAAATCCCCAACCACGACCTTCTGACTGGCTGCCCCGTTCTGTCTCACCTGGAAGCCACAACGATGTCCCCCTCGGCAGGTGTAACCACCTCGAGCGCGCTGGCAGCGCCGAGCATGCCACATGCGAGAGCAACAAAAGCAGTGCGGGCCATCGTCGCTTCGAGAGGGAAGAGAAAAGAGAGGTGTGAAGAGAGCCGAGAAGTTGTGGAAGTCTTTATTTGATGATGTGGGTGTGTGTGTGTCCCTCTGCTCGTTGGAGGATGGAGGATCACCGTGGGGCACAACAGATTGCATTATTGCACCCCCCCTCCTGTTCGGGGTTTGTGGGGCCGCAGATCCTTTGCTGTGTTTGGCGTTTCATTTTTCGTTGCAGGTCGGACGTCGGACGAACATCCGCCACGGACGAACGACACCACCAAATCTTTGCTGCGTCACGCTCGCACTTGGCTCATGAGCTGATCACTGCTGTTCCAGATTGCCAAACACTAAACTCTTCTAATAATGTATCTCACGCGTGTACGACACCCTCTACGTAGAACGAATACTTTCGTCATCCATTGGCACCTCGACAACGAACGGCATTTATTTATTTATTTGTTTTTTCTTAATAATATATGACACAACGAATCCATCTCTCTCTATCATAGAAAAGAGTCTGAGACAGATTTGCAATGAATTCATAGCGTCAGAAAGTACCTGTATGTCTACGGTTTCCCAGACAGCATATAGGGACATCTCCCCTGCGGGTAACAGGCTCAACAAGACCGTTTGGTAGCTGTCTTGTGTGTCTCATATATGTTATGTTGGGAAGGTGCAGAAGAAATGTGTTAGGTACTGGTCGGGCGTTTCGTGTGTGGCGCCCTTTTAGTCGTAGGGCATGCAATCTCCCTCAGTTTTCAAACGTATTTTCAATGTGGTACGCGTATGTACCGGGTATGTATACGTGTGGACACGTGGACACATTTCGGATCATGTGCGGACACACGGGAGTGGTCTCACCATTTTCTTACCTTTTTGTGTAATTTCTTGATTTTTCTCATTCTCTGTTCTGTCGCCCGATCTTCGTTCCTTTGTGTTCCTCAAAGCACACGGTCTGCACCATCATGTCCATTTTCGTGTGGTAGTCACAAAGAAGAGGTTGCGATATCTACGACAGATACCACACGATGTGTTTGCCAGCTTTTTATGTCCCGCTCGAGTGGCCACGGGGGGGGTACGTGTGTACTTCGTATGTATTATTAGCGTTGACGGAACGTACGCGTGCCACCATACACACAGCGAAAACAGCAACAATAATATGTTGGCAGCCACATGTTGCTGTATGTGTTGTCTGTGCCTTCGATTCTCAACTCACGAGTATTGACTACACTGTTTGTTGCCGTACAAATACTACGTGCGTGCGCGTCTAACGCTTGAGGGTTCACATGTACGTATGTTCAAAGTATTTAGACTACATACGACCGTATCTCGACTGACTGAGAACCTACAGGAAAAACAAGCATTTGCACGAACAGGTCATCCCACAGCAGTTCCGAGGTGATAAATAAGAACCAGTCCAACAATGAACGAATTCGCAAACGAGGTGCACCATCATGGTGGAACGAACCCAAACGGGCTCGCTGCCAAAACAAAACAGTGTCGCAGGGTGGTGGGTGCGTGTCAAGAACACCCAAGAAATAGGCAGGGGCGGGGGGGCGGGGGGGGTGTACTCATAGTCGTGCATGCCGTAGTCGTTAGACCATTGATGACCTCGCATCCCTACAAAGCCGGGACGGAGCACGCCGGGTTCTCACCGGACCAGGCTCTCACATCACCAAGCGCGAAGCGCCGTGAGGTATTCGGCGAGTCGCATGAAGGGTGCGCTGTATCCTGCTAAGGGTGTTCGGCATCTTAATATCGCCGTGAGGTGTTCGGCGAGTCACATGAAGGGTGCACTGCATCCTGCGAAGGGTGTTCGGCATCTTGTGCTTACTTCCTTGCGTACGGATGACAGCTGCGTATGACTTAATTTATTTTCTGGTGCGTTCACTTCCAGAGACAATTGTATGCTCTGTGTAACTGCCTCGAGGGTGTTTGACCAATTTAACACAACGTGCGATTATCCCCTTTGCGCGGAGTGAGGGTTCTCCACCCCGCACAACATAATCTACTCGACCACCATTCATGGTTACCGCAAAAAAAACAAAAAAAAGGCAAAAAAAAGCGGTAACCTGGTCGCAGGGGCGGGGTAGTAAGCAACACGTTGACAGTGTCCGACTGGCGGCGTGAGCTTATCGCTCAACCAAGGGGTGGCGACATTCATTCTCGGAAATTGCGGCGATCGCCCAGGCTAGATACGTTTCGCCTTAGATTACTACTTATCGAACGTATTGTACTGGCGAGGACCGCTGACGGTTCAGACGACCAGCTGAATCATGCCGAGGTAGGACAAGTTGCATCCCCCCTGTATACAGAGAGATGGACGCCGAGAGACTCCAGCGACAATGAGGAGGAAGCTTCACAGACCGGCAGCGATGGGCACGCGCCGGGGGGGGAGGGAGGGGTGACCAGAGCGTTGGGGACGGGGATGCAGGAGAAGAGAGAGAGGGGGGGGGCTGACAATGGCCGTTCCAGTGACGAAGACGACGAGCAAGGTAGATTTGATTATCCCAGATTTCCGTACCCGCCACCTGGATTACCTTGTCCCGCTCGGGCAAAGACGACGGTAGCACCGGCAGCATGAGGACGCCGTCGGGAGAGTACGCTAGCGACCCTAATGCGGGAGTAGGAACATGGGTTCGGTTGGGTCGAACACGGCAGAGCAGGTGGATGATACGCCCATCTGGCTGTAGATACCCCAACCGGGGAGAAGAAGTGGATCGGGGACGGCAATAATACCGCCCAGCATAATTCCTTGTGGATCAAGGAAGTTGACCAAATTTCCGTGATACCGTGCGCTCTGCTCGTTTGGATCTGCAATTGATGTACGCCACTGTACCGAAGACTCGTCGTGCAAGCTTGGGTTCGCGCAAGCTGGAGATCTTAGAAGCGTTGTTGTCAATCGAGATTCATTCAGGGTTAGTGGCTTTTTTCGTGCGAACGTATGCGGCGAAAAAAACTTTGAGCACGTGGTTTCTCCTTGTGAGATATCGACATTAATCACAGAAATCCGGTGTAGATTACATGATGACCGTGTTGTCCAAATCAGCACCGTCGTCGTAGGATAGGCACAAGAAACCGGGCAATTTCAGCTGGACGTACCCGGCTGGAAAGTCAGAACTAGATTAGTAAGATTACGCGCTCGATTTGGGGTAGGCAATGGCTTGCTGCGAACCTCGAGCAATATTTAGAATCTTATCTTGCTGGTGTATTCTGTGAGTCAATCCCGATGGGGTATTCGATTATCGTGCGTTCTTCCCTTAACCTCTCTCCACAACACAACCAAAGCCATGGCTGGGACGGACCTCGTCGTAGCAATTTGCTATGAAAGATACCAGATCCCTGCCCTTTTGTTAGCTCCTCCTTTAGGGTGAACGCTCGTCGCCTCGATGGTAAGATATGGTATACAAAAAGTACTTTACATAACATCATACACAACATATCCCCTCAAAACGGAAACCAGATGGTGTGCTGATCTATTGACAGTGACAGTGCATGAAGTTATCGCCGGCAGAGAGAAAACGCCTATCTATACAGGCGATAGTGAATGGGACCTCCCTGCAAGGCGAGGTCAACAATACACCTCGTGCTCAACCATTCGCACCACATCTCCGAAACTGCTGCCCTTCAAAATGGTGTATTATTTTCCAGGAGTTTTTTCTCAGGCTTCTTGTTACCAGGAGAACGAGAAGCTCCACAATACCGACGCCTATTGATGGATGCAGGACCCGTTCCCGCCGGGATGCTGAAATGCGGCCGAAGCTCTCTCGGGTGTTGCCTTGGTCCAGTTTTCTGTTGACCCATTCTCCGCCTCCTCCCTGTGACCGTTTGTCGTGGTTACAAACTCATGAGCTAATCGGGCGGCGGCTGGGATAAGATCACGACCTATTTCCTATTTTCTATATAGATGTTGTGGTCACACCGCTTATACCGAAGATTCCGTTGTTCTGAAAGTGGTTGTATGCTGTATCTCAATTGACACCCAGCTAGGCCTCTGTACCCTCCTATTTAAGTACCACTCGTTGCTTAGAGGACCCCACGAGAGAGCGATTTTGCAATCGAGCGTGGATAGCAACAACCGGGCTTTGTCCCTGATGTGCGCGTATCACAACGGAGTCGACCCTCCTCATCGTAAAAGGGAAGAAACAAGAAGGCATCGGACCTTAACATCGTCCGGCGCCTGATAGCATTAAGCAGTCACCGTGAGAGGCGGAGAGAGTGCATCGGGTGCGATGTGTGTTCTTATTGCTTTTTTAGGGGGGGGTTCTCGCACCCCGGTACGATCTCTCCGGCCGATGCAATCTCTGACCCCGGTGCCGAATCGCAATTTTATCCAGCCGCGATCGTTGACACAAGATTTTATATCCAACCCCACCCGCTGATAAACAAGATGGTAGAGAGTCTTCACAGCGAAAAGAAAGGCAGACAACCTTGCCGTCCGATGGAAGTTCTTGGGGGAGGGTCGACTGTAAAACCCGGTGTGTTCGCCCATCGTTCCTGTTTCGCTACGCGGTTCATTGATCACCCGCGCCTCGGGGGGGGACTTGTTGTTGTCGTTGTTGTCTTCACATTCAAAATTCGTTCCGGTCTCCGGCTCAATACCTTCTAATGTCCGTACTGGTCCAACTGACGCGGACACCTTCCGTAGTCACAAGCCAACTACCCCAAAAGGGGTACACTTCATAGATAGAAAATGGACCCCAGAAAGGTCCTCCAAGGAGCGATTTGTTTTTTACCCAAAAGAAAAAGAAAACCAACCGGGACACAGACCATCGACCCTGGGTCAAGAAGGATGAGAGAACGAAAGACAAAGAAAGGAAAGATAGGGAACGAGAGAAAGACAACGGAAACAAGAAATAAATGAAGATAGACTGGTCCCCTCCAACGCTCCAGTCCACCGGAACAACGAAATAGGCAACTACAGACGCGACGCCAAACAGATGCGTGACTTACGACGACAACAACATCGCTTCAGGGAAACTGCGAGGAGGGGGGGGGGTTAGTGACACGACGGGAAAATATATTGATACGTCCGGCTGGTATTCCTGCCATCGCCTCCGTCATCATCAGTCCGAAACACATATCTCTATCCGTTCAGCCATCTCCGCCCTGCTCTCTTGGCTGCAGTCATATCTTCTTCTCTCTTTGGACGTTCCTCCTCCCCGTATTCCCTTGCCCCCCTCCTCTGCTGTCCTTTTGGTCTTATGTTCAGTGTGTTTCTTGTTCCGTTCCTCCGCGCGCAGTACGCTTAGCTTCTCTTCCTCCTTGTTGTGTGTTTTGACCGTGAACTTCTCCGCTCCCTCCATCACCCCTTCGTATCACGGCACCCCTTTCTCCACCTTCGCTGCGATAGGCCATCAGCCACGCGGTATCTCGAACGTCCTCAGGTCGTCATCCAGGATTCGTCATTGGTACCGAACTCTACGAAGTCGTCCTTCAAGTAACAATACCCTATGATTTTCCGGGCGCCCGCTGTTTGGGTCCTTCCCCCCCACGACATTTCCGAACATCAATCGCTTCGGGAGTCGCCCGTCCGGTTGTCTGGCCCATGCTCCAGCATACAGTAGTCGCCATAGTCGGACAGTAGCCCTCCGCGCTTTGGGATTCGACCTTTTTTCAATGCTTGGGTGTACAAGAGCTGGCGATATTGGCCGCGCGTGCGGCGGTTAGCGATGACCCGTAGCAGAAGACGGTAGTGCGTACTCGTCATAATGTCGTAGTGCTGCGGCGCAGGGCCCACGTCATGCATCTGTACAGCAGGGCCTCCATCGATCACCAGCGGTGCCGTAGGTGGTGTGGGTGGCGGTGGCAGCGCTCCTTTCTTCGCTTTCTTCCCCGGTACCTTCATCGGGAGAGTCTCTGTCTTCTTCTCCGACACAGTCAGTTCGAATTCTCCAAACACTTCCATGGTATTGGCCATCATCCTCGCCAGGCATTCGGCCGATCTCGATACGAACCCAGCGTGGTCGGCGTACAGCATACCCCATACCGCCTTCCGGACTCGTTCCAGCGGTGTCGTTGCCCTCGTCCCAGTCTCCTCCTCGATCGATAATACCATATCCCTGAGGATAACGTCGTCTTCGCTGAATCGTACCAGCACCGTACCTCAAGCGCTGCCGCGAAGAGGATGTTAAACAGAAGTGGAGACAGTACACATCCTTATCGAAGTCCCTGGGTGGTCTCGAACCATTCAGAGAGCTCTCCGTCGTCCATGCGTACCCGAGCTTGCATGCCGTCGCGGAACTGGCGGTTGACCGCGATCATTTCCTCCGGGATCCCCGTTCGGGCCAGCACCCGCCACAGCAGCTCCCGGTCGACTGAGTCATAGGCCTTCTTCAGGAGGTCGACGAAGCACATGTTGTACAGCGGGATACTACGTTTCCGTGCCCGCTCCTTCAATCGTCGTACGACGAACATCATGTCGACGGTGGACTTGTTAGGTCGGAAGCCGCACTGCTCTTCTTCCGGAAAGATGTGGGGTTTCTCGCAGTAGTCACGGCGACGGCTAGCGACGATTTTCAGGAGCACCTTGCCCGCATGCGACAGAAGGGATATCCCCACGTACATAATTGTTTCAGTTGGATATGTCCGACTTCTTGGAGAGTACATTGATGGTGGCATCGTTCCGTTCCTGCGGGACCTCCTTCCCGTTCCACATTATGACTGAGGATGGCGTGGAAGCGTTTGATCACGATGGGGTCGTCTACGTCGTCGATGTTGAGTACGTAGTGTAATTCTACCGGCAGAGAATCATGACCAGGCGCTTTCCAGTTTTTCACCCCCCGTGCTGCTCTCCGAGTATCCTCCAGGGTTGGCGCGGACCTGAGGTGTTGTGAGCCATCAGTGGTTGTTAACTTCGGTCGTTTCTTTACCTTCTCGATGTTGGATGGGTTCCACGTGGGAGATTTAGCGTTGAGTAGGGGGCCGAAGAACCTCGCCCACCGTTGGAGAATCTCATCCTTGCTCCTCAGCATGACACCATTCGCACCTTTGACGGGCTGTTGTCGCCCTGCCTGCTTCCCGTCTAGGCCTACAGAGCTCTTGAGGTGTTTGTAAAGTCCCCGCATGTCGCGATCCTCAAGGACAGATTCCATCCTACTATTATAATAGCCACATACTTCTCCAAGTAGGTGGGTATAGATGCCGTCATCGACTGCTGTACGTATGGCCTTGCAAGCGGCCCGGAGGTCTCTCTTGTTGGATTCGGTCGGTTTTCATCTCCCGGCGTGCCTTCCTTCGCCCGGCAAGGGCTGCTTCGACCTCTGCTCTCGTTTCCGGGCTCTGGCACCACTCCGACATAACTCCGTGGTATCCGGGTCTCTGCCGGCAGCACTGACTGCGCTGCATCAAGGATAGTTCGGGTGAATCGCCAAAAAAATATATATCTCTGTGACCACGTCGTCATCATTACCCTCAAACCAAGAGTATGGCGGGCGTGATCGCAGGTGTACTGCGAGGCAACTGATACAACGCCGCAAGGGAGTAGGGGGAAACTTCAGGGCTGCCTTAGCTGGGCCAACTTGCCACGTTGCATGTGTGCGCGTATACGCACGTACGTTTCACCGTTCGATCTCCTTCGACGAAAACACGACGAAAACGACGAACTGACGGTTTCACAACGGTGACACGGAGCTCCGGCATCCACCCCTCAACTGCACAGCAGTATGTCTCCTCTGCGTTTCCCCGCGCCATGCTTCACAAGCTCACAACTTGACTATTAGGAGACAGAGACCAGCTACTCAGCGTCAACATGCGTTGACACCTCTTCCCACACCCTTTCTCTCCAGACGCGGGCGAGGGCATGGGTAACCCATTCTCATGTTGCCATCCCGGCCGTAAGGAGAAGGGCCGGGGCGGCTCGAAGGTCCGCGATCGACTGCTTCGCACTCAGGACAGCTCCACGCAGACGGGCCTCGAGGGGGAAGAAACTTACGGCTTGATTGCGCCGCCGCAGCAGCAGCAGCAGCAGGATGGATCGGATAGGGACACCATAGAAGAACAGGCTGAGGCGAGGACAGGAACGGCGCATGGCAGCAGTAGCAGCAGCGGTTCGAATGGTTCGTACCCTGCCGGAGCGAAAACCCAATTCTGTGCAGCAGGAACGGTAGGAGCAGCAGCAGCAGCAGCAGCAGCACCGACAGCAGCTCAAGGGGCCTCGTCGGCGGCAGCAACCGCCGCCGCCACCGCCGACCAAGGACCTGCCGTCGCGAGAGGCGGTAGAGAACCGGACGGGTTGCCAGCAGCAGCTCATGGATCAGCACCAGCACCAGCAGCACCGCCACCACCACCAGGCCATCGATCCACCGGTGCTATGCCACGGGCTCACCCAAACGACCAGCATCATCGCCGGCAGCAGCAGCAGCAGCAGCAGCAGGCCATGAGCGGAGGAGGAGGCGGAACGGCAGATCTCCGTTTGGCAGGGCGTGGTGGCGCGGCGCAGCAGTTCGGGGGTACAGCGGCTGCGGGCAGAGGAGAGGGTCGGTTTGGCGCAGCAGCAGGAGGCGGGCGGGGTTTCGCTGCCAAGACCGTGGCTCGAGAGGTGCCTGCTGCTGCCGCGGCGGCCGGCACCGTGCTCGTCAAGTACGAGATGAAGGAGGTGCTCGGCGTCGGGAGCACGTCCAAGTGCTACAGATGCGTCAACAGGAGGAGCAGGAAGGAGTTCGCTTGCAAGGTGAGCCGCCTGGCGGCTGTTGTGGGCGTCGAGAAGAGGCTCTGCTGCTGTCGTTGAGAATCCATCTGTTTCTTCTCCCGCTCTCGATGGGGGGAGGGAGAAGCGTGTCCCCGGCTCGGTCACGATGTGATGCTCTGCTGTCGAATGAGCACATGCATGTACGGAGTGCATGTCCCGCAAGCGTAACTTCATCTTGTACATGTACGCTGTCAACGGCAGATGGCCGAGAGTTGACAAACGCCCCGCAACTGTACCCAAGCACCCCTTGCTGTAAGGTCGTCGTTCGCATCCCGCATTATCATACGGAAGAGTTTATGGCAGCGACGAACTGCACATAGGTTTTGCTTGTAAGATTCGGTTTGACACATACCGTATGCATGGGTCCATATGTACAAGCACATGTGTTTTTATGATGTTGGGTTCCGATCCTCAAGCATCGTCCCGAAATTACTGGAAATTACATTGCGATTAATTTGTATTTTTAGAGTTGATGGTTGGGGCGCCAGTCTGGTGGTATGCATATGCAAAACGGCGGTATGGTGGTTCCAGTTACACACAGTACACAAATGCTATTTAGGTCGCGGGGCGCGCCGCCCCTCCTGCTATTGCTGGGTTTTGTTTTTGCTGCTCTGTTTTTTAGAAAGGTTTTTTAGCAACCAACAAGAGGCTGACCTAACTGATTGACCTTGCTGCTGCGAAGCCCTCGTGTTGAAAGGAGCCATGTTCTTTTTTCGTTTCGAAAAGGTGGCACGAGCGCTGTTGGTTGGCACCTTGAATCGGAATGAATTGAATCCGCCGGCGGTTTCAACCACATGAGTTTTGCGTGATGTTAAAAGAATGTTTTGCCCCGATGGGGCACGTCTACTGCTGTATCCGGTCATCATCGTGTACGTATCTCTCCGCATCGCTTTCTCAGCGTGCTTCTGTCGTGCCTTCTTTGATGCGTTCGTGCAAACCGGTATAATAGTGGTGACAATTAGGGGCACCTGCCTTCGGCAGATGATACTCACACCGCCGCATCAGAAGGCGGGCAGCACGGGCAGCAGGTAGGCATCTACTTCTACCGCTGCGTGGCAACACTGTGCTCTTGGTCTTACGCGGGCACTTGTGCTATGGATACTCTCCTCCCTCACTGCCATAAGCTAACCCCGCCCCATCCCCCTTTCAGGTGATCGACAAGCGAGCGATGGACCCGAAGCTGAAGCCGCTGCTGGACCAGTTTCATGTCGAGATACAGGCAAGCAAGTCACGTCTCCCTCACCTGGTTGTTTTTGTTTCTCCAATCTCGGATGTATCTTGTGTACATACATACCCATGGCTGTTTTTGTATCTCTCTCTCCCTCTCTCCCTCTCCCTCTCTCTCTCTTGCGGTGTGGGTTCACGCGTGCGATGCGCCCGGCATGCAATGCGCTGGTGATTGTGCTCACAGCTCCCAATATATGTGCATGGTGGCCGCATTGGTTTGATGTTCCTTGAAAAGGCTGCAAATAGTCTACCCACCACCTTATTCCGTTGGACAGCAACGCCGTTTCTTGCGCTGTCGGATATCGGTCTCGGAATGAAAATTGTTCAATGCAACAGCAATGGCGAAACCAGCCTCAACCAGACTAAAGATATGTATCATGTCCGCATTGCCTGCCCGGGTTCGGAAAGATACAAGAATCCAACACAGAAGGTATTAGCGTTGATGAACATGCAGTCCGGACCCTACTGCTGTGGGCTGGTGCTTACGCCTGATGATAGGTGGAAGAGTGTATATGATTTCTTAGAAAAAATTCATAGACTGGTTTGGTGTGTTGTTGATGTAAATGGGTTTGGAGTGGGTGCGCGTGGCATCGTTACTCGCTTCGCTCGCAGGCACTTCACGGTTTTTTGGGCGTGGTGCAGTGTGCGGTCACAGTGCCGTGTGACTCGCTTCGCTCGGAGACACTTCACGAGGTTTCGGGCGTGCTGCAGTGTGCGGTTACAGCAGTGGTGTGTGACTCGCTTTGCTCGGAGGCACTTCACTGTGTTTCGGGCGTGCAGCAGGGTTGCAGTAACTTGTGACTCGCTTCGCTCGAAGGCACCTTACGGGGTTTCGGGCATGCTGCAGTGCGCGGTAACAGTGCGGATCGACTCGCATGCACTCAAAGGCAGTCAGTTCATGCGCGGGCAATGTGATGCCCGCCCCTTCTCGAGAGGAAGTTCCTCGGTGTGCTTCTCTTTGCTCGTAGAATAGGCACTTGGCTCTATTATTGCAAAAGAAGATTATTAATTGTTCGATCGCTCAGCAAGTGCATACTCCCCCTCGATACGCCTTGCTCCACCCACACCGTGTTGTTCAGTACTCCAGGCCACACACCCGTCCACTCGCTTGGAGCATTGTATGACTGTCTTTCGTCCCACAGTCAGTTTAGCGTACGCAGCTCCCCTACCTCTGACGTTAACCGTAACTATTGTTACTGTCGAGGAAGGCTTCTGAATTTGTTTGTGGTTGGCGGCGGCATAGAGCTCACGGCAACAAGAGTGGAAAGCAATCTGATGCCGAAGAGTTGCAAGAGGAGCAGCAGCAGCATACCCGGGCAGCGATACATGAAGTCGGCTAAGCACGAGCGTCGACGGCAGCACGGCAGCAGCGAGCTGCCGGGCAGGAGGAGTGTTGCCGGAGCGTTGTGGTCCGTTTGAATTTGAACCCCCCCCCCCCCCCCCGTACGCGTGAAAATTATGTAATTAGGGGGTATGCAGTTGTTCCGTGCCCCAGCAGCAGTTTGAGAGACAGCGTGAATTCGAGCACAAGACAGAGATAGCGCAGAGAGTAAGAGCGAAGAGAGACGTGCAGCAACTGCTGTGATGACGACTCAGTATGTTATGTGTGCGCGTATGATGTGTGGTTATACCTGTTGATGCACACACGTGGAGGAGAGGGTACATCCACGTTGCTCTGCGGTTGGTTCCTAACCCAAGCACAGACAGGCAGCTGCTTCGAATGTATAGTTGCTGCGCTGGCAACCCCGTGCTACTGTACAGCTCATGGCAGTAGGAACCCGTCTGTGTTGGTTACAGTAGTAGACATACAGCCCAGCAGTAACAGATGGGTTGGCTGCTGTGCTGCTATGCACTGCTGTGCCTGCTGTGTGAGTACTGAATGTGTATAGGCTGCTGCTGTGTAGTAGTTTGGCGTTTTGGTTTTCCGGGGACGCGCCTCCCGCAGCCCAGGGCACAAAGAAGCGAGATATAATGTCCGGAGGTGATGCACCCCCCCCGCCACCCCCCGGTTTGAAGACTTTGTAAAGACATAGAGAGAGGCTCTTCTGTGTGACCACGGGTTGGAATATCCGGCACTAGTGCTGTGAGCGCTGATTTGAAGTGAAGAACAAAAAAAAAGAAAAAAATGCCGCAGTGATGATACTATTTTTTTTTTGTCTTCACTTCAAATCAGCGCTCACAGCTCACAGCACTATTATTAGTAGTGAGTGCCGTTTACTCCAACCCGTGGTCATCACACAGAAGAGCCCCTCTCTACCGTCCCCTCCTGCGGTACTTTGGGTATGCAGTTGTTCCGTGCCCCAGCAGCAGTTTGATTCAGTCGAGAGAGGCAGCGTGAATTCGAGCACAAAGAGAGAGAGAGAGATACGTGCAGCAACTGCTGTGATGATGATGCCGTATGTAATGCGTGGGCCTATGATGTGTGGCTGTACCTGTTGATGCACACGCGCGGAGGAGAGGGTAGATCCACGCTGCTCTGCGGTTCCTAACCGAAGCACAAACAGACAGGTAGCTGGTACGAACTGTAATAGAAATACACTGGCTGCTGCGCTGGCAACCCCGTGCTGCTTGGTAGCGAAGTATACTGATGCAGCCCAGCAGCATGCTGTTGTGTACTTGTGTGGGTTGGCTGCTGTGTTGCTATGCTACTGCTGTGCCTCCAGTGTGTGCTGAGTGTGTAGTCCGCTGCTGTGTTGTAGTTTGGCGTTTTGATTTTCCTGGGACGCGCCTCCCGCAGCCCAGGGCACAAAGAAGCGACATACTCCTATATGTCCGGAGGTGTTGCCCCCCCCCCCCTGGTTTGAAGAATTTGTAAGTACTGGGTTTCAGGGGCTCCGTGCCATGAATGCATGCGGTGTGGCCGCTGATGATCATGTCGTAGCTGCTGGATACAGACAGATACAGGACACACAGCGAAAGATGCACACAGACAGCTGTGAGATACAAACACGTGCAGTAACAGCAGTAGCTGGGAACCTGTGTGGGTATGAAATGTGGTTGTACGTTCGTTTGATGAAAGTGGTGTGTACGTGATGTGTACACATAGCAGCACAGCAGCAGTGTGGCAGTCAGTGGCTTGCTTGGTCCACCACCAGTGCCGGGGGGGAGGTAACCGCCCCCCGGACGCCCCCCCTCACCCCACGGGTGGTTTGCTTGGTTCACCACACGCGTGGTTTGCTTGGTCCAAAATATATTACTTGATTTTTAATAACGCAGACACGAAGGAGGAGCCAAGAGATCGGCGGGGGGCACCGCGACTTCCCTCAACTGCCATGTATAACCACCTTGCCTGTTTCCACCCTTCTCCACACTGACGACCCGCCTTCGCCGCGCGAACCGCCCCGCTGCAACATCTACCGCAGGTCTTGCAACTGCTGAGGCACCCGAACATCATCCACATGGAAGACGTGTTCGAGTCGGACGTTAACATCCACATGGTGATGGAGATCATGCAGGGCGGTGAGCTCTTCGACTACGTGGTGGAGAAGGGAACTCTTAGCGAGAGCGAGGCCAGCGTCATCGTCAGGAAGGTGATGACGACAGCGTACCGCTGGCTGTGCCGTGTGTGGGGTACCCATCCAACGCGATTTGCGGGACAAACAGCCAACGGTAAACGATAGGGTCGGGCCTGAACGGTGTTGCTCCCTTCCCCGTCCGCATTATTTCCGCTGTACGCGGTATTCCATGTCGGTGTCCGGCGTGCCGTGAACACACCATCTCCTGTTCTTGAGAGCCTGCCCTCTCCGGTTGTGTACGTGTACGCCACACGATCCGCTGACGGCGGAGGTGGTTCTGGTTTCGGCACGCCACCTAAACCTCCTCTCACACCAACCCATTGTCAACCCCCCGACCACGCTTTACTGCTGTGTGCCATGCGCACACACACTGAAGTATACGGCGCGCACCCCGGGGTGGTTGTCTTCTTGGAAGCATCGTCCATTCGATCCCTCGGTTGTGATTCGCAAAGCGAAATGTGCAGAACCTAGCGCCCCATAAGAAATAAGAAACCCCGCACGCGCGATTTGTTGTTGGGGGAGGGGGGGAGGGGGGG